GAGATATTCTCTAATGTCTCTTTTGGGTATTCCTCATTCAGTAATTTTTCAAAATACTCTTTTTCACTTTTTTTTCACATCATCATCACTCGAGAGTACATAATTATCAACACTTTTTATACACCTTATATAATGATAATCTTTAGACCTTTTCTCTCTTATCTTTGCAAGTCTATAGATTTCTTTCTCGCCTTCCTTTGTTCCTAGCCTATCATACAAGTCATCATACCTCATAAACTTCGCCTTACTTACTGCACACTTGGCTTCTTTGCACAAGCGTTTATACTCCATCCAGTCTTCTCTCCTTTTGCTCTTCTGCCATACTTTGAACTGCTTTTTCTTACTTTCTATGATTTTTTGAACATCCTCCTCCCACCACCAGGTTTCCTTGTTTCCTGGCATTCTACACCTACTCTCATCAACAATCTCCTTTGCAGTATTCTTTACACAACTAGCAAATATATTCCACACATCATTTATGTCTCCTTCGACATTCCACACCGTCCTCTCTTTAACCGTCTTTACAAACTCTTTTTCATTTTCCCCTTTCAATTTCCACCACCGGATCTTCGATTTTTTCCCCGCGTTCCTTCTATTTTTGTATATTCTCTCTTGGGTGCACCACACCTCCATTATAAGCAGTCAATATTGTGTAGTTATACTCTCGCCTGGTTTAACTTTACAATCTTTTACTTGCTTTACGCTCTCTCTTTCACATAAAATAATCAATCTTTGATCTATTCCTCCCACTCTTATAAGTTATAGCAATGTCCTTTCCTCTTTCTAAAATAAGTATTAACCACAGCAAGATCATACAATACTGCGAGATCCAGGATTCTTTCTTCCTACTAAAACCATACCCTCCATGTACTCTTTCATATCCTCTCCTCTCTTTATCTACATGTCCATTCATATCTCCACCTATCACTGCATCCTCATTGGCAGGTACCCCTTGCATCACCTCATCCATATCTCTCCAAAACACTTCCTTGTCTATTTCATCACATACTACTTGTAATGCGTAGGCACTTATTACATTCAGCACTTTTTCCTCAAATCAATTTTACGACTATAATTCTGTCTCTTTTTCTAGCTACTTTTACTACTTACTTTTCATCTCCTCATCCATTATTATCCCTATACCATTTTTTGTACTAGACCTACCTGAATATATTATTTTATAACTCTCACCTATTTCCCTCGATTTCTCTCCTTTCCATTTAGTTTCCTGCAGCAAATGTTAACTTCTTTCCTCTTCAATACTTCTACTAATTCTCTACTTCTACCAGTTAATGTTCCAATATTCCAAGTACCTATTCTTACTTTATATCTATCTTTCTCCCTTATACACGAATCCAGCCTAGAATTTGTGGTTACCGCAAGAATAATATCATAAAATTGTTAAACGTTAATTATGATAAAATAAGAATTTCATATGAACAAATAATAATAAAAATAAGGAAAAAATCCCAAATTATTGTTTGTGATTTGGGATTGTTTGGGTAAATCTCGTTATGAATTTCATACCAATTTAAAACCCAATAAATGAACAATTATTTTTCAATATCATCACTCATAAGTTATCTTGCAAAAATTACATTGAATATTAATTAGTAGTAATCTATTATTTCTTAATGCGCTCTAACTACATTGGTTCGACCATTTTTAAGAATAAATCATCAAACAAAAATTTAAATGTTCTATTTTCTATGGACATTGTATAATGCAATCTTTTGGTTTTCGAATTGCAAGATAACTAAATAGAAAAAATTGGGAGGACTAATTTATCTTTTAAATATCCTTATGTAAATAATAGACTAAAATCTCCTAGTTTTACTAAATCACAACAAAAAAAACAAATCGTTGAAAACTCAATCCAATTTTTTTGTCCTAGTCTAACACAGTGGTAAAGTTTAGCATATGGACTAAATAATCACAAAATCCTTCTAATTATATAACAAATATTTATGTTTGATTATTAGATTATAAAGGAATAATCAATAAATATATTTTTATTAAAAAAATACGTAACAAACAAAATATACTATGTGCTAATGTATTAATAAATTAATAATATTCTGAATATTTCAAATGTAACATCTATTTCAACACTAAGAGTTTCATGAAAATGATTACTATGATCCTATTGATATTATTTATTTCAATATTAATACAAAAAAATATTGGCTTTAACGAATTATTTAAACTTTTATCATAAATTTACTTTTAATAGTAAATATACAAGTTACTGATCACATATCAATTTAAAAAAAAATACAAATTTTTTATTCCTCACAAAATGTTCTATTTAATAATATCATTTCTAAATTAACAAGCTCAGCTAAAATAGTTACTATAAATTTTTAACGTTTTAAAATTATAAACTTTCATAAAAATCAACTTAAAAGGACCAAAAAACTTGGTTAAACATAACATTTCGAATCGAAATTTTACACAAATTGCTCTTAACATTTTAAAAATCAATAATAACTTAATAAAACATTTTTTTGTTATTAATTAGTTTTTTTTATTAAAATACTTGTTATCTAGTTAGTGATAATCTTAAACGTGATTTCAAATTTGAAATCAACTCCAAAAATTGGTTTAGCAATAAATGTAATAATCATTAAAAAATGTTTCATTTTAGTGATATAATTTTACCAAATTACACAGTAAAATATAACTAAAATAAAGTATTAAAATGAATTTTACACTCTTATTATTTGTGGAGATATTAAGGAATCACTTCCAATACTTAGTGACATTAAGTTCAACTAAATTAAAATCGGTTTTTTTGACGTATTGATCATCAAAATTGACAGAGAGAGAGCTGAGATTTTTTATGGTCTGTCATAAAAAACAAATGCACAACGTCACAAGAACAATACCTTCTTAGCTTCACATCGAAACTAAATATTTACTAAATTAAGCATATAAAAATTAATTAAAATTGCAAATTGAAATTTTATTTTTGGCAACATCACAGTATCAATTTTGGATTATGGTGATATTAGAAGTATTATATATATAATACATTAAGTATTCTTCACCAACTGTTAAATTTTTATGATATAAAAAGGACATAAATTATAATGAAAGCTAAAATAGATCCGTAAAGCTTTTTAGACGTTGAGAGATAAGTGTTTTTCCCTTACCTAAATATTTATTGTTTAACGAACTGATGGTGGTCACGTTCATTAATTAATCATGGACAATGATTTCACATTATTCTTATATAAAGTATTTTAAGTCAAATAAAATTGCAAAGAGACAAAAAATAATCTTTACTAAATTTCTTAAGTATGATTGTTAATAGTTTTTTTAATTATTACGACAAAAATATATGAGATTGACTTATATAAGCTGGCTGTATTAAATTCTCCTTCATTTGTAATGCGTTTAGTACCTATGGTTGACTTGGACAATTTATCTTTTCGTTTTTATAAGTGAGCTTATCTCACTATCGTAACTACCTCTTTCGTTTTTTTCTGAGTATCACAAAACTTCTAATTGAATCTGTGCAACTAAACGTGACTTGAATTACTTACAAAGAAAATCGTTTATGGTACAACTAATAAGTGTTAAATGTCTCGTAACACTATCGTTTATAAAGAAAAACAATATGAAAAATCTTGTCAATTTACAAAATAATTGATTATTCATTGATATAGATATTTTCTAAATTTGTAATTATTATTCATTAATTACTTTAGTAAAATGAATGACACATAAATAAATTTTCGCAATTAACTTTAAATATATATTGGTATACACGAAATTATGTTTCCAATAACAATTTCACTCGTAAATCATTTATATTGTTATATATAAATATATCTATATTATTTTATTATATTATCTATATTATATTATATTATTTATATTTAGATATAAATATATTTATATCGTAGAATATACATATATAGTAGATACATTGTATATATTTGCAAAATATAGTTTAACTTAAAACATACTTGTCATCCATAAAAAAGTTATATTTACAATTTTATCTAAAAAATAAAACAAAATGAAAAGTTGTAAAATTAATAATGATCAGTTTTACATCCATCTACTCCCCGAACTTAATATGCTACAGAGTGGTGGCAATCTTTCACATGTTAAGGAGTCAAAAATGGTTCTTGGCTAGTTATTAATGCTGGCTTGCACCAGAGATCAGATACCACCAATAAGAAAATCACAAGAAAAATTTTAGTACCATGGAGATCGAACCCAGGATACCGTGCATATGTTTCTACCAATTAGGCCAGCCCGATCATTATATTTCAAATCAATAACGTACTAAATTTCTAAAATTATAAACTTGAGTCATTTATACCTTAGGGTAAAATACCAGATAGATAATGTTTTAAAGATTCGTCAAGCCATTTGAATTTTAAAAAAATTTTAGTTATTAAGAATTGGCTAACTAAAAGAAATTTGGAAGTCAAGTCTTAGTTAAAAAATGTAAGATTTAATCAGTGGTGTATCCAGGATAGGTCAAAAAGACTAAGTCCCCATTAATCATGCTCTATCAAGATTTTAGTTAATAATTCACCTAAAATTGGTACTAAAATGTTTTGTTTTTTTGGTATTAGCTCTCCATTCATTTGAAATGTATTCACAATGAAGTGTAACTTTTATGTAATTTTTTATAATAATGTACTATAACATACATTTCTGATATTAGGGAAGATGAGAAAAAAACGCTATTATCATCTTAACCACAACAAGAGTTAGACCTAATGTGGTTAATACTATTAAGCTTTTTCTAATCCTAACGTATGTGTAATAATTTTAGAAAATAAAATTAGAAGATTTAGATTACAAGATTTAGAAGTCTCATAATCATCATTTCGTATAATTCCTCAATAAGTTTTTAAGTTATTTAAAAATAGCTATACAACAATATAATTATAAATTTCTTTAAAATATTTTAAGCTTTCAATAAACAAATATTTTATTTAAATCTTCAATTATTATTTAATTTATCTTTTTTTCAGGTCGAATTTGTCGACATGCATTACGGAAGCGAACAAGACCCTTTGAAAAATCCAATTCTATTTGCGGAACATTTAGAAGAAATAAAAAATTGTGAAAATGTTTCTCGAGGATGTTTTTTCATCGTATGTTTCAACTAAAATTTAAAAATCCTTTTTGATTATAAGTAAAAAAAACGGTAGCACAGTGAGGTCGTGGCATAGTGGAGACGTTGCAATAGATCCAGTATAGATTTAATCTGACAGTGATTAAAATCACTATCATAAGAAACGCTTCGATTCAAATCTGTAGATAGTGTTTAATTCTAAGAAATTGATGGATAATTACAAAAGCAACATTAACCTTAATAATAAAATAGCATATTTTTGAATACGGTAGCCATTTTCGCATAGAAGATAGGTTGTCGAGACAAATTTTTTTTTTCATTTTATAGTACATAAAATAAGCTTTAATTTGATATATGTTTAAAGGACGCAGTATTTCCGGAACATTTTGAAAAATTAAGTTGAAAAAGTTAATTTTTGTAAAAAAGTTTCTATTATAAATCCCCCCCAATGAGCAGGTTAAGTGTTAGATATTCAAAAAAATGATATCAAATAAAAGGGAAATATCTAAGGTTTTAGTATAAAAAAAATTATGTTTATTTTTGAAAAAGTTATGGAAGTTTTAAGAAAAAAAAGTGAAAAAAATGACAAAATTTACCGATTTTTAAATTTGTAATTTTTTTGGATATTTCCACCATTTGTGGGGAACGAGGGAAAATTTTTCAATTTTTAAGGGTAATGTCTTCAACTAGATACGATTTGTGATCTTTTGACATATTGTTGAAAGAAATCGGTCCAGTGAGAGCTGAGAAAAAGTGGCAACAGACATAAAAAAAAAAAAAAACACATCATAGTAAAATTAATACTTTCTCTGCTTCGCATCGAAGCTAAAAATAAAATGAAAATCTGTTAACTGAAAAATAATATACCTCTATTATTAACTTAAAATTAATACATAATCGATTTTTATTTTACAATAAATAGTGTCTAGTGGGAGATGAACAACAATCTTGTCCTTTACCAATGAAAATGACAGAGGATGCATATGAACAACTAAAAGATGTTGCGCAAGAACTAAACTTGGAGTGGTCCATTGTAGAGAGTACTTATAAGAGAGATTCTTCCAGCGGCCACTTCATTCTTCTAAACCCGTGAGTACTAACACTTTTTTAATATTCGTTTGAATTCTATATTTTCTGCAAGATAATAATAAAATAAGGTTACAATGAAGTCTCTCGCTGGATTGTTTAAAGCCCCCTTAAATTTTGAAGGATCTTATAAGAGAAGAAATCATTGTATTAAAACTTATAAAACAACCATTTTTTAAAACTATAAATTTATTAAATATTTTTACATACATAGATTTACTAAATTTTTCTTAATTATTCTGCTTTATTAATTTTTTAAGATATATTTAAAAAATGTCTTATTTCCCAACAAATTCAGTTTTATTATGTGTTTTATAATTTTTTCATTTCATTGTACTATATTTATTAATTATTAACTTAGTTTAATAATTTTTTTCTAAATTTATTAGAACTTAGGTAATAATTTTATTGATAATGAAACTATGTCTAACTTACAGTAATGTCATTTGCGACTTGTAAATTTAGGTTCTTGCTGAAGCTTAACATTTATAATAAACAAAATGTAAGGGCAGCGAGGAGTTAGTGTAAACAAAAATTTTTAGGAGGTTCGGTTTGGTATAAAAAAAAGTAAAAGTTACTACAGGTATCGGGCAGGGACAATGGAATGAAAGTAAAAGGGATATCGGGGTATGTATGCCTGCAGAAGCACATCTGATATGAGTAAAGATAAAATATAAACGAAAGGTTACTATTTAGCTCCTACACAAAAATGTATACACAATATTATATGAGTCGTGAATATCATATTTATTTTTATGCATTTATTTTAGTTAGTCAATTTCCGATGACTCACCTCACTTTAATCTTTTATTACTAAAAATCCTTCAGTGAAGGTATTATTATAGATTTATTATATAAATAAATGTTTTCACTTGTAATTACACGATTTATATATTTATATTAACTCGTGTGTAACTATTTCTCTAATACAACTCTATACTAAATCTACTCAAGGTAAAAATCGAATTTAATATTCTTTTGGTATTTTATGTAAACCCTTTTTGTATATTTATGTGGTATGTTCTTTTACCTTGCGTGTAGTATTTTATACTAACGTATTTGAAATTTTGTAATTTGTAAAACCAATAAAGAGATTCTAAATAACATAACTGTCCTGTGCATTAAACTATTTTCAAGTGGCTTACGTCTTTTCAGTCATCCAAAAAGTGATCTAGGGTAGATACAAGCTAAATTTCAGTTCTTTGCACAATAGATTATACTAGTGTCCTGCACTCCAATACCCCAAACTGTGACAAAGACTGGTTAGTCGACAAGTGGATAGACACTTCTAATTGCTTGGGTAATTAGTATAATATAACCACTTTAATATTTTTGTATTTCATAGTTGGTTGTGGCAACATGATATCTCAAATAATATCTTTATCTTTATGCAAAAACATTTATGATATGTGGCTTACGTTTTTTTAATCACCCGAATGACGACCTAGGTTAGATACAACTGTACTATAGACTTTTGCACAATAAGTTATATGAGTGTACTACACACCGACTGGCTGGTCGACGAGTAAAAAGACACTTTGGAGAACACTTATAATTAATTAAAACTTTGATTGTGATATTATTATGCCAGTATTCTGTCCAGCCAGGTTATGACCCTTCAGTAAGTTATAGAACACAATGCAATCTAATCATATATTTTTTTTAAGTGTGTTGAGATGTATAATAAAAATAAATAAATCAAATATCAATATATTTTACATGTTAAAATGTTTATATCACCAAAAATGTGTTCAGTCCAAAATAAATTATATAATAATTCTTTTAAGTCTCAACGACTAAAAATAGAATTTAAAACGGTGTAGATTTGAAATAAAATTATAACTAAGAGGGAACCATATACTGACGCGTGACACGTGTGTGTGAACATGAACCAAGAACTCAATTTTTTTGGAAAAAAATAGTCTTTTTATATTACCCACAAAACTAATTTAGCGATTTTTAATAATATTCTTAAGATATTTTTTGTTGTCAATTGGTCAATGTGATAGAATCTTTTATGTGGGCGTTTTATGGAATGTGTAAGAAGGTAGTTGATTTTTGTATGAGGGTATTATTTTTTTATTCATTTTATCCACAGAGAACTCTGATTTAGTGATATATTTTTATTAAGTATATGCACTATATTTTGCATGTATTAAAATGTGATACTACACATTCAATCGTTCATTTAGTCTATACAATTTTTAATATCGAGTTTTTCAATTATTCATATATATCATGTTTTTTTTATATCACCGCTTATATAATTTTTATTTTTATTTTAATGGGCAAAATACCCTTTTACAAAATAAATTATATCTGTACCTGAAAAATTTATCTAAAAAATAAAAAACATATAAATCTATACATTTTGAAAAATAAACATTTTAAATATACATTTTAGAGAATAAAAATTATTTAACAAATATGTTGATCACTTAAGTAATGTAATACTTTGAACTTAAAAATCTGTCGACAAAACATAAAAAATTTAAATAGATGAATATAATATTAGCTAACTGTAAATCTCTAGATAGAAATGAATTATTTCCAAAATATTTTTTATAAAAAGGAATTACTAGTAAATCTAGTTTTCGAGTGTGTTTATAAAGAATTAAGAAACCACAGATAAAGAAAATATTTTCAAACAGATAACACAACCATTAAAAATATTAATATTAAACATTACATCATTTAAATTATCTCTAACAAACAGAATATCAAGACTTAGGGTAATTCATAATAAGGCAAACATAATCTTTAGAGAGAGAAATACTAATAAGATAGGATAACTTAATCAAGAATGTATATTGAATATTATCAAGTTCATTGTTATACCTAATTACAAGACCATATAAGGCTACCAAATTCAAAATTTGATTTAACAAGAGCACAATAAAGATTTATTAAATAAAATGGATTTCTAAAATTATTAGTCATTCTATTAATAAAATTAAATATTTTATAAGATTTAATTAAGATCATTTTATGATTAATTTAAAAACTAAGGTTGTATTCGAAGAATACATCTAAATATTTTATAAAAGTGGCGTGCAAATGATCATAACTAGAGTTTTTTTTCAAATGAAAGATATCATTTGTTATTTATTGATAATAAGTGGTGGGTTATTATTTCCATATTAGGAAATGACATTATTTAAATTTATTTGTAAAAGTATCTGATTATTTAAAGATCTAATAATACAAAATATTTGTGCATCATCAGCAAATAGTAGAATATTAATTGATTTATCTAAGATCTAAAGAAGATTATCAATTAATATCCGAAACATCGATATGACAAAAAATTTATCGTAAAGTGGTCAAGAATTTTTAACAACTGGTATTCTATTAGAAAAGTATGAAAAAAACCATTATAAGATAAAATCACACATATCAAAAATTTTAATTTTAAGTACAATAAATTATGATTAACCATGTCGAAAGCTTCTTGAAAGACTGTATATATAGAATCAACCAATAAACCTTGATATAAAAAGATAACTAAAAAAATTTGATAAGGTAATAAACTAGTATAAATAGAGAGCTTTGCAAAAAAAACTATGTTGGGAAGGATTAATATGATCAATTAATAGATTCGTAAGGTTTCTTAAAATAATATCCTCAAAGAATTTTAGGTATTAGTGAAAGTTTAGTTATTGGCCTATCGTTTTTTGTTATTTTTATCACTTGATTAAAAAATTGGAGAAATAAAGAATTTTTTAGAGAAAAAAGAGAAACAAATTAAAATGGTAATATAAGGGTTAGATTGGATCTAATTAATGTAGTAACTTTTTTTTTATAAAAATATAAATAGTTATAAATCAATTTTCAAGGAAAAGACATACAATTTATTCAAATAATAAATTATAAATTTCAAAAATGTCAATTATTTAATTGAGTTTTTATCCTAAAACTTACCTCAGTCATAATTTATTAAGGTTGTTTTTAATAGAACATCCATTAGATAAATAAAATCAGAAAGTGTGATTGTTTTAAATTTTATGGTAATCATGAAAAACAGTAAATGACATTTCATAAGAATCAAGAATTAAAAGTTGTTTCTATTTGAAGGTGAAATTACACCTTAAAAATATTTTTACGCCCAAATCAAAATATTAAATTAATGTATGTTTTTTTAAATTTATTTTATAAAAAATATTTTTATGTTTAGAGATTATAATAGCTCAGAAAGTGTTCGCATTTGGTCAGATATTAATGAAAAAGCCCTCGCAATATTACAAGAAGCGTCTCAAGAGTTACTAAGTGGAGGATTAATGGTTGACCCTCAAATATTCCATTCCGCAGTTCAACATCAAACATTACATGCTCTAGGTAAATTATAAATAAGTTTGTAATATTAATGATAATCTCATTTTATATTTGACTTTAGATTTGGATAAAGAACACATGGTCGTTTATAGTAGAGAATTCACAGGACGACGAAAGTATGATAGTTATCCAGATGAAACGACTATATCATTTAAACAGCTTTTAAAAGATACTATACCTTCAGATAATCTTATAGAACTAAGGTAAAATTTTAAATTAAAATATAAAAACTCATGATTTTATAAACAATTTTAATTTAGTGTTGAATGGAAACCAGGAGGTATTGATGGCGAACATCCTGAGCATGATATGTATCTTACAATATTTCAAGAAGCTATCATGTCCAAGATGCAAAGCATGATAAATAATAGTATAGAAAAAAGACCCGAGTTGAATGCAAGAAACAAAACTATTCAAGAAGTACTTAAAGAAACAATTGTTCATATTTCTCATTGTAAAGAACTAATCAAATTGAATCCTCCAAATCCTAATTTAGACGCAGTTGAAAAAATTAAAAAAATGATGTCTACCTCAAATAAACACGGTCCTATAATAGTTAAAGGAGGCTTAGGTTCTGGTAAAACTTCCATTATCACTACAATTTATCAGGAATGTAAAAAGTGGTTTGACAAAAATCTTTTAAGAATAATTCGATTTTCTGGAGTCACTCCTAGAGCATCATATAATCTAGAACTACTTCGAATTATTTGTCAACAACTAACTTATTTACTTCAACCGAATGGGATTTGTGTTCCATTAGATGCATCATTTGACCCTTTATATGTTAGTGATTGGTTTCAAACATTATTAAGAAGATTTGAAGAAGAATGCAGAACACAAACATTAGTGTTATTTATCGATGACTTGCATCGATTAAATCCACTAGATTCGGATATAGTTGCAGGATTATCTTGGTTACCAACAATGTTACCTTTTAATGTTCATATAATTTGTACAACTTTACATACTCCAGATGACTTGAAAATGACTCCACTACAAAAAGAAAGATTTAAAAACTCTGACTTTTATTTTGTACTGCCCGACTCAAATATAGGTATTCTATAATTCGATTTACTTACATTTAATAAATATTGTAAAAATATATCATTTTTGGTATTAATATTCTTTCAGAGACAATCAAAATTAACATTAACAATATGCTAGATAATTATGAAAAAAGTTTTGGTGTTAATGCTATTACTAGATTAGCTTCATATATATCAGTGTCCGAATTCGGTTTGACAGAAACCGAACTTCTTGAATTATTAATGCCCACAACTGGTGATTTTGGATCATCTCTAAAGCTTGAAGATGGCAATTTTAACTTTTCTACATTTTGTACAGCAAAAAAAACTATCAGTAAGAAGTATTTCAATTTTTAATTGTTCAATTTAGCCATTAAACAATTACCTAAGTTACTTAATAATCATACATAGTTATTAATTCATAACCAAAAAATAAAATTTTAAATATAGTGCCACTTTTATTCGAAAAATTTATGAGTGGACGAATATTGTTGTGTTGGAGAAACAAAATAACATTTGATGTAGTTAGACATCGATACTTGACATCAAAAACTCAACAAAAGTTTCTACACTCAGATATAGCAAACTTGTTTTTTAGTGAATTTTCTAAAGATGAATCAGAAGCGAAAACTGAAAATTGTAAGAACTAAACATTTTTTTTTTTTTAATATTTATTGTTAACGTAATTATTTGTTAATAGCTATTAGTAAAGATGGGGAAACTATTATTCATAATGATATGACTTATAGTCTTAGACACGTAGAAGAATCATGGATACATCTTTTAAAAGCTGGTATAAATAATCAATTTTAATTTATATTCTTTTTTAATGACGCTTTTTAACTACTGAATAGGTGATAATCAACGATTAAAAGAACTAACTTTGTGTAATTTCGACTTTCTATTGGCTGCTGTTCGAACCATTTCGGTTAGTTATCTAAGATCAATTTTAGAACATGCCCGTTGTTATGTATTAGATAGGGATGTCGAATTGGTTTACTATACCGTAAGAAAATCTAGTGACGTACTAACCAGAGATACACTTCAACTTGGAGCACAGATCATTTGTTGGCTGAGACCTGTTGCTGGTAAGTAATAATATGTAATTTAAATTCAAAAATAAAATAATTTATTTTGCAGATAGTAGTAAATTAATGCATCGAATCATACGTTGTTCAGTATCATGGTGTGACGGATTCACTGACCCTTTACTAGTACCTCATACCAGTTGGTTACAGCCACCTTTGCCACTCCACATTAAATGTAACTATCAAATACATTAACTATCTTCATCTTTTCTTTTCAATTCAATAATTAATTATTTGCCAAAAGGTGTGAATTGTGGTATTCCAATAACCTATATTGCACCTACGCCTTCTGCACAACATGTGGTCGTTGTTCCAAAAGAAGGAGACGCTCAACTCTGGCATACGATGGGTAATATAAGAGTTAATACTTTTCAAGGTCATCAAAAACCTATAAAATGCTTAAGTATAAATAAAAATCCACAATTATTGGTGACTGGTTCTGAAGATCGTAGTGTTTTAGTTTGGGATTTAAACACATATGCTTTAGTAATAAAATATACGTAAGTTGTAAAAAAATATTTTGTCAATGTTACAAATAATCAATAATCAATTTTTTTTTTTTTTATTGTTTGTAGAGAATTGGAATCACTTGTTTTAAGTTTATGCGTGGCAACAATCTTTGATGGGGGCAATAAAGAGCTCGGAGTAGTTCTAGGTTGCGAAAATAATAAAATATTATTATTTACATTAAAAGGTAAAATGGTTAAAATAATAGAATATCACAAAGGTCCTGTAACAGCAGTACAGCTAACATCGCAAGATGTTTTAGTCACAGGTCAGTTACAAATACTAAAATTCGATTTTAAAATTTTTGATATTAATTTAGAATTAAATACTTTAACAGGTTCTCGAGACTGTACTGTCTGTTTGTGGGAAATGGATACTCTCGATTTACTTAACACAATTTCTTTGCCAGGCCCTTTACAAATGTTGGATATTTCGATTGATTCAATGTTTCTTTTGGTACTTTGTGAAGGAAATCAACTACTATTACATGCTCTAGCTACTGGAACACTCATTCATACATTAAAAGGATATTGCTCGAAAGTAATGTCAATCGCATTAGCAGAAGATTGTCAACGAGCAGTGGTTGCTGGTGTAGATTCTAGAGTATACATTTATGATATACATTCAGGAGATTTAGATCTTGTCCCCATATCAACATCACCACATCATAAAGAAGTAATCGCTGTTAAAATAACTAATAATGATGATTTCCTAGTCACCGCAGGTAATTAATCATATTTATTATACATTAATGCTTATTGAAGACTGTTTGATATCTAATAATAAATGAATTGTAATATATCATTTTCAGGAGATGGAAAAATAGCTTATTGGAATTTTAGAAAAATGGGAAACGCTCAAGTAATCAATAAACATCCATCATCGTTATCTAAAAAACCCCACACGATGGCTATAACGTGTTTAGATATTTCTAGAGATGGAACCATGGCAGTAACAGGTAATAAAATGTGATCAAAAAACAATATTTGCAATCTCGTCTCATATTTTTTTCTAAACTAGGTGGACTCGACAGTTTAGTGAATGTTTGGAATTTAAATGTAGAAAGTTTAGAAAATGTCTATCATCTTAACAATAATGAATTGCATTCGACTATGCATGGTCACAGTGCAGCTATAACATGTCTTGCAATTGCATCCAATGGGTTATTTGCTGTTTCTGGTTCAGAAGATAAACTAGTTTTAGTATGGGGTTTGACCGTAGGCAATGCAGTATTCACATTTAGCGTAAATCATCTTCAAATAACTTGCTATTTTTACCTTTTTAATACTTTTTTTTCTGTTACAGGGGCATCAATCTGCTATAACTGCAGTAGAAGTTACATCTGACAGTGAAAAAGTGGTGTCAAGCGATAAAGCTGGGGTTATAGCTGTTTGGTTATCCGATAATGGTACTTTATTGAATTCGGTTATTTGCCCAGCAACACACTTGTCAGTGACCAATAATATGAAATACTTAGTCAGCGGAGACAGTCATTTTTCGTAAATTTTTTTTTTTATTCAATTTACTTACATATGTATTTTCATTTTAAATCGTTAAACTTGGTTATTTTTCAGATTACATATTTGGCCACTTGCTGTCAAAAATGGTGGACCTTGGACAGAAAAATGGCCGGTCAGTCATACAGAGGAGATAACTTGTTTTGTTATTACATACGACTCACTGCAAATAATTACAGGATCCAAAGATATGTCACTTAAAGTATGGCAAATCAATGGCGGTAAACTATCGCAGGTATTTATAAGTTTACATAGCCTCAGTCTATTTTTTAAAGAACCACTCTGAAAATTTCTATTTATTTTAAATAAAAACTACTGAACAAATTTTGCTTGAATAGAAGGTAGCTATTTCCGTTATACAACTAAAAATATATATTTATTCAAGAACAAATTATAAATTAATCAATATTTAAAAAAAAAATTTGTCAAATCCATTCAAAATAATAATGGAAATATTAGTTTAAAGTCAAATATTCAATCTTAACTGAAAATTATTTTAATTAGTGTGATTTTGTAAAAATGTTAGGTATTAGTGGGACATGAAGACCAAGTTACATGCGTAGCAGTAGCTATAAGCGATAAATCAATTGTTGTATCAGGTTCATGGGATGCTAACCTTATAATATGGGATATCCATACTGGTGATGATAGGCACTTACTAACTGGACATTTAGGTCACGTGACTTGTGTAAAACTTAGTGGCGATGGATCACTAGCCCTTTCTGGTTCAGATGATAAACGTATAATAGTATGGGACACTAAACGAGGAGTAGCTCTAACTTCGCTACAACTACATTTGCCCATTCTTGATTTGTCGATGTCTACAGATGTTACTCGAGTGGTGGTCCATTTATATGAAAGCCAATACTTGCCTATCACTCAACTGATGAATACTCCAGCACAATATGTTAAAGTTCCCGTTTTTATCAACCGAGGTATTTAATTTACATTTAATTATTTCAAATAATATTAAGGCGATAATTTACCTCTTCTAAAAATATCAGTTCATCCAAATTTAAAAAAAGTTCCTCTGTAAGTCATCAATCATCACTGCTCTTTTATGTCTAATTAAAAGGAATTGGAAAATGGCAGAAAATGTATCATTTTCTGTTTTTACACACAAACCTGAAAAAAGATTCCTCACAGTACCTATTCTTAACATTTATCGGTTAATATTTAAATGATTTCTTATTATGTTTTCATAATAATTCATATTTTTTATTTATTAAAGAACCAAGGTCTATGGCAGCTAAAAAACCAATGCGAAGAATGCTTATCAAAGAATATTCATTAGACTCATATACATGGCAGAGAAAATATGCCCATTTAACTTCATCAATAACACGTGCGGCAGTTGATGAAAAATTGAGACGGTTTTCAGTTTCCGCAAGTATGGAAGAAATATCTAAACAAGCAACTAACAATAGTGACAATATGGGATCACAGGTTAAATACAAAAAAATGTTATAAATATTCAACTACTTAAGAGACTATTAAATTTGAAATTATATAGACCACCGGGTAGCTTATTGGTAAAGCTTTTGCTCGAGAAACAAAAAATGTGGGTTTAATTCACAGTTCGCCAGTTTATTTTTCCTTAGTTTGCAAGTTTCTAACATTTTAGAAATGGAATGAGTCTGTGTTCACCATGTAAGGAGTGGCTGCAAGGCAACACGTGTGAACTGCTATAACTTCTATCAGGGCCGGATTTAGGGGAGGGCTGAGTGGGCTGCAGCCCAGGTGCCCCCGCAAATTTGGTATACATTGGTATCGCAAATATGATAATTGTTATTTAATAATTAAAAAAATATATTTCCTTGTTTATGTATAAGGGGCCCCCACAATGCCCGCCCAGGGGCCACCACATACCTAAGTCCGCCCCTGACTTCTATTGTGTTTCTTGTGTTGAGGGTACAGATCGCATACTCCAATAGAGCGGCTCCGAGTTGAAAATGTTGTAAGAAAATAGGGGGCATTTGCCTTACAAGAAACTGTGATCGAGGGTGATTAGCCAAATCGGATGACTAAATTTTATTGATTTTTATTTAAAAAATTAAAGAAATGGTCTATTATTTTGAAAAAATGATGCGTGATTTATCATTTTCATAGTATTGTTTTTGTACAACAATTTTGTTCTAGTTACCCCTTCGACTAATAAAAGAATTTCTCTGATATTAAATCTATTTATTTAGAATTTGGGTCCAGAACAAGCGGCTTTAGCACAATCACAACATTTTGATCAGTTAATAGCTGAATGGAATAACAAACGATCACCATCTAAATCAACTAGTCGCCAAAATGTGGTATTTATCACATTAATTAAAAATTTATATGATAAATTAGTCTAGTATTCAATGATTAAATAATAAATATTTACAATCGAATTATATTAATTAATTTCAGTTCTTATCAAAACAAAACTCAAAATCAAGTCGACAGCATTCTGCAGATGACGAGAGTCATGCCAGTGATGGTTAGTTAAATAAAAATTATAAAATTTAATTTTTAATTAATAGAATGATATTTTGATACAGATTACATATAATGGCCATCAAAGATATCACCGTTGATAGCGCTCTAGACAAATCCTTGTTTCACCACATTGCAACCTTATTGTGATTAAATATTCAATCATTATTCTTACTAGTTGTTATAAGTTTTATTATAAAATATTAGTTTTTAATGAACGCAATAAATGTATTAATATTTAAGTCTTTAACATGGTATAGCTGATGTTAGCCATTAATTCTAGTCATTATGTAATTTAATATAGTTAAGTATAGTTGAGGTTGAAAAATTATCATATATTGAAAATGTAAAAAATCAATCTGAAGGACCAAAACATGTTAAATTGCCTTTTAATTTTAAAAAAATGTATTCAAGTCAACATGATTAAGGTTAGAATGTTAAGTTTATAACATGAATTAAAAATCTAATACTAAAAATTGATACTTAAAATCCTTTAGTCATATTTGGGTTACTAAACTTTTTTTATAATTTTAATCACTGATCAGAAGTAAAAAAAACAGATACTTAAATTGTTTTGTTATGTAGTTTATATCAAATCTAATACCTAGTTAATAACTGGGTACATACAAATATATATATATATATGATCCCTGTTGATTATTTATTTGTATTTTATAGTATTTCAAAAGATAAAAAAATTTTTGTTAAATTATTAATAGATTTATAAATAATTTTTTTTATTGATTTATCTAAAAAACCAATATTTTAATAATATATTTAAGAATACATTTAAAAAATGAATTGTTTTCTATTTCAAGTAAAAACATAACTAAAACATGACTGAATATTATTTACAAAACTTAAACAAAAATTTATATTTAATTTTTATCTTTGGAAGGGCATGAAATCTAAACCAGTATTAAATTGTACTTTCTTCTTTGCTTCTTTTTCACGTTTTCGTTTACCAATAGCAATCATTTCTTGCACTTCAGATCTAAATACAGTATTTTATTACAATAAAATTTAAGATTAAAAACAAGAATTTACAAATTAGACAATACTATTTTTACTCACCGATAAGCTGGAGGTTTAAGTTCTTCATGAAGTGTGCAAGGTGATTGAGAAGTATTTTCTGTTACACGAAATATAGTACGCTTTATAATATCTATATCTCTAGACAAATAATTATTGAACGATTTTAAGGCAGAATTAGGGGCATCAAATTCAACAATAAAGTAGCTAGCTTCTTTATTAATAGAATCATGAGAACTCATTTTCCAAGGTGTCTTTGAAGTACCTAAGTTATCAATTCTACGTATAAAACCACCAGTTTCAAATATTTTACTAGCTGTTCGTTTCAAACAGCTTGCTAATTCAGTCTAAAAAAATAATTAAATTAATTCAAACAATTAAATTCTATAAAAATTTATACAAATTGGTAAAATTTCTAGAGTCAACACTAGTTTCAATCATTGCATCCATGAATTAATTTTACAGCAACAATTAAATAACTCTTTCAAATTAAATATAAAATTTGTAAAATTTTAGTTTATATTAAATTAAATTTATAATGAAAGAAATAATTGGATATTCAAAGGTATATATGAGGAAAAAAAGAACCATTACATTGGACATACAATTTTATGGAGCATATTTATACTTTATTTTTTAAACAACTTTTTGATTATTGTTTTAGCTTCGATGCGAAGCGGAGAAAGTATTNGGATTTAAAATAGCAACTTTTTTACAAAAAATAACTTTTTCAACTTAATTTTTGAAAATGTTCCGGAAATACTGCGTCCTTTAAACATATATAAAATTAAAGCTTATTTTATGTACTACAAAATGAAAAAAAAAAATTTGTCCCTACGACCTATCTTCTATACGCAAATGGCTGCCGTATTCAAAAATATGCTATTTTTGTATTAAAATTATGGGTTTTGTATTTTATTTTAATAGAACTTGATGTTGATTTTGCAATTATCCATCAATTTTTTAAAATTAAACACTATATACAGATTTGGATCGAAGCGTTTCTTATGATAGTGATTTTAATCACTTTCAGATTAAATCTATACTGGACCTAACTATGTAATGCCTCCAATATGCCGCAACCCCACTGTGCTACCATTTTTTTTTTCAGTTATAGTTTAATTATATAAATTAATTAAGTTCTCAATATTTAATTATAGAATATTAATTATATTTGATAATAATTATAAAATCTTTTTAAACACCAGGAGTTCGATAGAAATGTTTACTTTGATTTCTATTGAAAAGATTTATTACAAAAAAAATAATGATTTTAATGAAATTTTTAGCTTTTCTCATAAATTTACTATGAACAGTAATCATAACAATACCATTTTTTATTAATTCTCATAAAATTTTCAAAGCATTTCTTATGATAGTCATTTTAATCACTATCAGATATCATCTATACTTGTCTCAATATGTGGCTGATACCTTTAATTAAATATGTGATCTATTTGTGTATTGTTCAGAAAAAAAAGTTTTGTAGAAGTGAAGTAATCATATGGACAGATACAAAAAAAAAAAACTTAACATATTAAAACCAACACCTTTTCAGCTGCGCATCAAAGCTGTAATGGATACTAAAATTTGGTAATTATTTATAACAGTATTATAAAAATGGAGAACACTAATAATTTTAATAAACGTTAAGGCGATGTTAAATCCTCTACGAAATCGCCATTACATTTACATATTTATGCATGCATACATAAATTACATCTATGTAAGTTTGTTCAAATAAATTATTATGTAAAATTACTTTGGGATACCAACAAAAAATTCTTTGTTAAATTAAATATATATATATATATATATTATTTCTTTAATTACCCTCGGCAAAACTTTGAACAGCAAACACAATTCGTAAGTCGGCATTTAAATGATATGGTATTTATGTTGATCGTCACAGATATTTTATTTAGAACACAGCTAGCTAGCTTGTAAATAATAACGTTCAACAATTGTTAAAAAAAATATTTTAATTAACTAATCCACAGCAACCATGAATTTTCTGCTAGGTTTCAGAGTTCGGAAACGCAAGTTCAGAATTTTGTGTGATAATAAGAGTGATAACATTTTCTGCTCAATTCCGACAATAAGTTCTGATATTATACAACATAAATAATTGTTATTATTTTAAAAAATATTTCAAAAGTTATTAATGTTGTACAAATTTAAGTTTATATAAACAAATTAAAATAATTTTTTAATGTACATTTATTCTGGTTTGGAATTTCTAAGAAAATTCTTCTGTACAGTATTCTAAAGGTGTTGATCAAAGTAACGTGATGTCGGGTGTAGCATTTTATCGTAATAATTACACTTGAGAACCCCTGTAATACCAATTGTTTTCCTTTAGCAATGGAATTCTTGTTGGTGTGTACGTAAATAAAACGAGTTTGGTGTAATTGAATACATTCTTATCGTACACAAAAGTCAAACGGGCAATCGATCAATCACTAGTTACACTTTAATTAATTTTTTATAGGATTTCTATTGATATTACTTTAACTACTTGTACTTAGTTTACGTTTTCAAACGTCAAAAAAGTGATTCCTTGTGCCGCCAAGCGCTAGACATACCGTGTATGAAAATAGTTCACAGCCGTCATCATTTTAATAGGCGGTGACCGTTGTATTTGTAAAACCTATCCAAAAATAGTGAATGCTCTTCAGTATTAATATTTCTTGTATACTATTATTTGTGATCTTAATATTCTCTTCAAAACGCATGTAGTGGTCGATATGAAAGAACTCAATCGGACATCATCTACAAAAAAGAAAACTGTCAATAACTCAAATGGTATGATTAAAAAAGTTTCTTCATTATTCAGTGTAGATACTCAAATGAATGGTAATTCTAAACCTGAATGGATAATAAATGATATTACCTTAGAGAGAGGTGATTCTGGCCTTGGTTTTAGTATAGCTGGTATGCATAATAATTGGTTTTATTGTATTCATTTGTATAATTTATTTTTATTTTTATATTTTGTATATAATAGGTGGTACAGATAATCCACAGATTGATGACGATACCTCAATATTTATTACAAAAATCATTCCTGGCGGTACAGCTTACAGGGATGGGAGATTATGTGTGAATGATATTATTACCAAAGTTAATGATACTCCAGTTGTAGGTGTGCCACATTCTACTGCAGTTAATGCATTAAAAAAAGCTGGACAAACAGTTACATTATGTGTTAAACGCAAGAAAATTATTTTACCCTCGGGAGCTAATATAATGGAAATTGAACTCAGTAAAGGAACTAAGGTATTAAATACTATTATCTTTATTTAAAAAAAGTATTAACTTAAATTTTAAAAAAATGAATAAAGTTTAACGTGGTTCACGTTTTACATTGATGAATTTTGATATATAAAAATATGTTTTAAAATATAATCATAGATTAAGCAAGAATTTGTTTCTCTATTATTGAATGCAATTTAAATTTCTTATCGAAAATAATTTTATTTTGCATGTTACTTGTTCCATTGAATAACATTTTAAAGTTTTTTTATTAATAATTATAAAGTTCATCAAAGTAATTTTTGCTTTATTGTTTAAAAATTTTAACATACATCATTACTATATTTTAATTTGATTAGACAGCACCTTTGATCAGTAATATTACATAATTAAATGCATACTTATAAACTCAATAATTAATTATTATCTTCAATATTCATTGATACATTATCATTAATTTAATGTTGTTTAATAACTACACTATTAGTATGACATTTTAAAATTGATTATATTAATTAAATCTATATGTTTATTTTGAAATATTACTTTATTTAAAAATATTTTTTAAACAACTTCAGCTATATTTTAGGGATTAGGTTTCAGTATTGCTGGAGGAATTGGTAATCAACATATTCCTGGTGATAATGGAATATATGTTACTCAAATTATGAATGGTGGTGCAGCCCAAGTAGATGGTAGACTAATGGTGGGTGATAAATTAATAGCAGTTAAAAACACTTTACTTGGAGATCGTATATTAGAAAATGTAACCCATGAGGAAGCTGTTCGAACATTAAAGAATACTAGAGAAAAAGTTTTGCTAGTTGTTGAAAAGATTGAATCTAATAATTATACTGATTCTATATCATACCCAATATCTGAAATAATTCATAACTCTTACTCTACTGATACTCTAAATACTGTCAAAAGCTATGATAATGTACTTAGCCATGATGAAAGAGTTGTAGTTTTGCACAAAAATACTGGAGGTTTGGGTTTTAATATTGTTGGAGGTGAAGATGGTGAAGGAATATTTATATCTCTTATACTAGCTGGTGGACCAGCTGATCAAACAGGACAGTTAAAACGAGGTGATACTATTTTAAAAGTAAATGATATTGATCTAACAAACGCAACACATGAAGAAGCTGCTGATGCTTTAAAAGGTGCAGGACAAACTGTTGTACTAACAGTTCAACATAGACCCAAAGATTATAACAGGTATTAAATTTAACTTTTTGTTTTTTTTTTTTTTTATAAACCAACTAATGATTTTTTGAAATCTAGGTTTGAAGCTAAAATTCATGAGTTAAAATCTCAGCTAGCTGCTTCTACTGGGACTTTAATACGTACTACCCAAAAAAAAACCTTATATGTTCGTGCTTTATTTGAATATGAACCATCTACTGATGATGGTCTTCCAAGTATTGGACTACCATTTAAATATGGTACAATTTTGCATGTTACTAATGCAAGTGATGATGAGTGGTGGCAAGCACGTAAAGTACTTGCCACTGGTAGAGAAGAAGGCATTGGTATAATTCCATCAAAACGTCGTTGGGAACGTAAACAAAAAGCTAGAGATAGATCAGTAAAATTTCGAGGAAATGAAAGCAAAAGTCTTGACAGATTATCGACTTTAGAAAGAAAAAAAAGATCAATGACTTTTAGCAGACGTTTTCCTTGGGTTAGAAGAGGAAAAGATGGTAAATATGAAAATGGTTTGGATGATATGGTTCTTCAGAGACAATCAAGAGAAAATATTAGTGATAAGAATGAAGAAACTCCTTCATATGAAGCTGTGGTATGAGTTTATTTATTTTAATTTTATAAAAAATCTTTGACTCATTTTTATAATTCCACAAAAGTAGTTATTTTCCCTGTTAAACATTTAGAATGGGATAAATTATGTATAAAATTTAATTTAAATTATTTAAATAATGTAAATACTACTGGCTATATTATAGAGGATATAGATATCTCCTCATAACAAAAATTATTATATCATAAAGATACAAATTTTTTGTTTCAAAGAAGAAGTGATAAATTTTCTAATGTAATCCTCCCAAAAGGAAACCCTAATTAAAACACTACTGATACATACCATGTAACCATGATTCATTAAATGTTTATAAGGTTCATGCTATTACAAATACTAAAGTTATTACCGTTTGTTAAATTAAAAAAAAAAAAAAAACCTTCAATTATCTATTTTTTTTATTTTAATTAAATTGCAAATAAAAAATTTTAATTAAAAAATAAAATTTTAATAACATAAGTGTTCTTTTAATACTATATTGAAATTTTATTATTATCCATACTTCATAATAAATAAAAAGCTTTATATGTTTAATTTGAAATCCATAAACCCTTCTTTAAAATAGGATTATGTCTAAGTTTATCCATTTATATCTAATAAAACAATACTGAAATATGTGTTGAGTTTTATTTAAAATGTCATATTTAAGATTCTCTTTGTTTTTAATTTAGGTACGTCTACAAATAACATATACAAGACCTGTTATTATACTTGGCCCTATAAAAGATAAAATAAATGATGATTTGATTTCTGAATATCCTGATCGCTTTAGCTCTTGTGTCCCACATACAACACGAGAAATCAGACCTGATGAAGTAGATGGCCGTGACTATCATTTTGTCAAGTCCCGTGAACAAATGGATTTAGATATACAAAATCATTTATTTATTGAGGCTGGTCAATTTAATGGTAATTTATATGGTACTTCAGTATCATCAGTCCGACATGTAGCTGAGTCAGGTAAACATTGTATATTAGATGTTAGTGGAAATGCTATCAAACGTCTTCAAGTTGCTGGCCTACATCCTATTGCAATATTTTTCAAACCAAAGAGTGTAGAAGCTCTTATGGAAATGTGTAAACGAATGAGTGAAGCTGAAGCTAGAAAACATGTAGAACGAGCTGTTAAAATAGAACAAGAGTTTGGTGATCAATTTACAGCTGTTGTGCAAGGAGACACTTATGAAGAAGTTTATGATAATGTTAAAGAAACAATTGAACATCATTCTAGTAGACATATTTGGGTTGCATCAAAAGAAAAGTTGTAAAAATTCTTTTTACAGTTTTTTTTTTTATAATAATTGTAATTTAGACAAATTTATAACAAAACATTCAGTGGGTTATTTTATAAATGATTATATTTTCATAATATTTGTTACACCACTGTATTTGTTACGTTTTTGTTGTGTTAATGAATTTTATTTAAGTCTACTTTCAATTTTGTGGAAGGACTCAATTATGCATTAATAAATTTTGATTAGTAAGATAAATAATCTAGATTAATTGTTCCATAACTTTTTGTATGAAGGATAAAATTATCTAGTCTTTGCCGTACTTGTTCTAATTTCTATGCAGAAATAATTATTTTTCAATAAATAGTTACAATATTAGCCGTGCCAAAGTTCCTTAAATTAAATCATTATTAATTATTTGTTTAATAATCATTGTAAAATGACTACATATTTCATTTAAAGCTCAACATACATTAATTTTTTTTTTAAATAGTATAATATAATTTTATTATATGATTTATCACATTTTCTCATTTATTTATTTTTGTTATATTAATTGTGTGCTTAATACTAGTGCCTTTTTAGTTATTAATTGTTTGAATATTTGATTTATTAATATTGACTAATAATTATTAACAAATATAAATTTATTAAATGTTAACTAAATGTATATGTTTTGTTTAATATTTTATAGTTAATTAATGCATAATCATGCAATTATTCTATATCATTATTATGTCCTAATACTGTACTTATTTAAAGCAATCAAATATCTATATTTTCATTAATAATATACTATTTTTTTAGTACTTGTGTGAATTTAAAATTATATTTTTATTATTAAATATTAATTATTGTAAATTATCAAACTTTTTGTAGCTATACTCTTAATAAATATTTTTCGTTAGTATAAAATCTAAATAACTAATTTAGATATTATTATAAAACAGTATTTCTTAAATTAATGTTAATATGTAAACCTAAAAAAAGAATGTATAATCTTAAAGTTATTTTAATACAAGATATTTATTATTTTATGTAATATCATTTTGAGTTAAGCCTAACATTTTAGGTATAAATGTCTCAGCTATTATATAATAACAAATTGATTAATAGAATTCATTTTATGTGTTCATTTACCAACAAGAGTATTATTACAATTATTTATTAAATTCATAAAATTCTTTATTGTTATAAGTTAAGTATATTATGACGAATTATTGAAAATGGTGCATTAATGTTATCGTTTAATCCCGTATTAATTTTTATTATAAATTGTACATACATATATATTTTTTGAAATTATATATTTATATTAAGTTTTGAAATGCAGTAAATTGATTTATTAACTGAATCTCCCTATTATTGTACAAATTATTATGTGTATTGCAATTGTATTTTGTTAATTTAACTAGTTTTTTGACTTCAAAGCAAATATAAAGTGAAATTAACTGCATAGTATAAAAACAATTGTAAATAAATTATTATTATATGTTAAAACCATTGTTTTAAATTTATTGTTTAAATGCAGTATAATAGAAAATTATTAAATTTTAATTATAAACTTTACAATGATTGCATTGATGAGCTTACTCAGATTTGTTTATTATGTATTATCAGATTGTTTACAAATTTTTAGTAAAATAAATATTCCATTTCACACTCAATTTTAAATCTTTGATATATTATAGCTATGATCCTTAGCCAAGAAGGTATTGAGGTCTTACTATGTTAAGTTTTTTTTGTGTCTGTCCATATGATTCTATACTCCCTACTCCGTTTTTACATGACTGATTTTTCTCAATAATACACCAATAAATCACAAAATATATCTAGTTGAAGCTATCAGGCCCATATTTAAAAAATAATCCACTCAATCTCTATGATAAAGGGAAATGTTCAAAAAAATTGCAATTCTTATAAAATCTTCAATATTCACCTCAGCTCCAATACGCTGGATCCTAACAGTCCTTTTTACTTTTATTTTGCTTGTTATATAAAAATTTTATAGCTTAAAAATTTATCACAAACAGTTGGCAATATGCAGTTGATTCCTCCTAAAAATTAACTATAAAATCTTCCCTAATTGATCATTATAGTAAAAAACTGAAATTTCTGTTAAAATTTTCATTTTGATATATTTTCTTTTTAAGTTAAAATGTTATCAGAAATAGTAAAATCAGGTACATTTTTTAAATACCCATTTAATTAAAACCCTAAGTATAATAACTGTTTGCACGCAGCAAAACAAATTTTTTTTTTTAATCCCCTTCTGTGGGCAGGTAAAGGGTCAAATTTATATAAAAAATATATCAAATGATAGGTAACTGGACTTAAATAACAGTCCATGCTTTCTAATTAATAACACATTAAATTGCAAAAATATTTACCATCTTAACAAAAATTAGTCTAATTAATTAGAGTTAATTAAAAAAAAAAAATTATTAATGAATTTTTTAATACTCATTATACAAATCTACACTACATTTACATATTAAAATAAATGAGAGAATTAATTCTCTGTACGCATTAAAATACTAAATACAATGCCAGATCTTGAACTCTGAAGACCCCGGTGCGAATACAAATTTAGGGGCCCCTAATTTAAAAGCCCAGCACAATGGAGATGTGGTATAGTTGGGTCAAGTATAATGATATCTGACAGTGATTAAAATCACTATCATAATAAATATAGTTTAAAAAAACTAAAAAAACACGCTTTTAAAGCACATTGAACTAAAATGTTAAAAATAATTTTTAAATTAAGCTTAAAACAATAATGAACAAAAAATACTAGTATTATTGTGATAAAAGCGTGGGTGCTTTGTGCCATATTTTTCGTATATTGAGCGCCCGACGCTTTTATCACAATAATACTAGTATTTTTTGTTCATAATTATTTTAAACTTATTTTAAAAATTATTTTTAACTTTTTAGTTCGATGTGCTTTAAAAGCGTGTTTTTTTAGTTTTTTTAAACTATATTTACTTAATAATCCCTTTTTCATTCGACATACCTTATCTTAATTAGGATATTAATAATGAACTAGCAGATGATGTAGCTTTTGGAATAATCCAAGAATTTTTTAAAATTAAACACTATCTAAAGATTTGCATCGAAGCGTTTTTTTTTTATAGTGATTTTAATCACTGTCAGATATCATTATACTTGATCCATCTATGCCACGTCACCACTGTGCCGCGACCCCCCTGTGATGGGTTTTTTATTTCTTCCGGTATAAAAAACATTAATGGAGCATTTATTTTTAGTTGAATATGATAAAAACAAAATTTTATTCTTATTTTTTTATCTGATCGACCGTTGCGTTTTAAAATTATTTTAAGACTTGGTTTAAAATGCAAATTCATTATTAATTTGGTTTTTATAATACCGGAGACAACAATAATCTGCTTCAATGGACCATAATTTTTTTTTCACCAGTCATTCAACAATGTATGATAGTAAAATTGCGTTAAATATTAGAGTATGCGTCTATTAATAGACATGAAATATTAAAGATAATATTTCTGTACGATAGATATCATCGGGTTGTATCTGTGACAAATGATGACTAAGGCATTCTAAACAAGTATATTATCAATAGAAAATTATTAAACTTAATTATACAAACAAAAATAGCAAATAGTTTATAGGATAAAAAATATTATAAAAACAATATTTTTTTCAGTCATATAATCAAATTAAAAAATTGTGGTTGCTATCAAAGATAACTAAAGTTTAGCTATTTTGTCCTTGAAGAGATAAAAAATATTATTTAACTATATATTATTGCTATATATAAATTTTAGGATCGAATAATATTTTCCTTTGCAAAAGTTAAATATTTTTAATAGTTTCCGAAAAAAATGTTTGTCTTAAAAAAAGACTGGATAATCAATATTTCGTTTGGTTATTATATAGACCGGTTTTTCACGATATTATATCTAATTTTAACGTTTTAAATAAAAAAAATAAATATTAAAATTATGATGAAATTTATTTTATGAGTTTAGTTAAGTATTTTGTATTGTCATAGATACGTATTAAAAATAATAAACTACAATATTTTTATTTTTACAAAAATTTGTCAGTTTCATTTTGAAAGCCACTTTGTTAGTGTTTAAATTATTTGTAAAAATCTTTATAGATAATTGAAAACTTAAAATTCATATTTTTGTATAAAACGTGCAGTAATGGATATCTCCATAAAAAACGAAAGACATCTTGAGTCATTAAATCGAGGAAATGATATTTCTTTGATTCGAAACTTAACATTCCAATCAATCAATCAGATCTCATTACTCTGGAAAATGTGTGGACCTTCACGTATTTTGAACGATACATTGCCAATTATGTCAGACTCCAAATCAAAAATTTCACCTACATTTGAACTATTTGAAAAAATTGGTAAGAAAACATACATCATATAGACTAAGATTATGTTTTATTTAGTGAACAATTTAAGTGAGATTTGCGAGTAATACATAAATTTGATTATTCTTTTTCATATTAATAATTACAAATATAGTTATATATTAAATTGTATTATTACACACCATTTTATAAAAAAAAAGAATTAAAATTTTTATCTGTTATTTTTTATTAAAAGTTTAAGAATATAAGTATAAATAAAGTTTTTTTTTTTCAAAAAAACTAATTTTTATATAAAAATTTATAGTAACTAAATTGTTAACAAAAAACACACATTTCTATGGAAAATAAGTAAATAAAAGTATATATATATGTGATTAATTGAAATTTCAATTGCACTTAAATTAGAGATTTTTTTGAAGTCAAATAAAATCTAACAAATCTAAAACATTTAATCTATATCAGCTATTTTTAAAATTTATAATCCTAGCATATGTGTCCGCAGAGGATGAGTGACAAAGGTATAGTTATCATACGCTTGATTTTTTACATAATCAATTTTTATAATCGCTGTATATTATAAAGTTTTGTAAAATTGTATAATATAATAAAAAAAATTAATAGCGACACTCAATTTTNATAAAAAAAAATTAATAGTGACACTCAATTTTATAAATAATACTACCAAAATATCTTTTATTTATAACATTTTTTCTACAAAGCTCCCATTAAAATAATATTTATATTCTTCCTAAATTAAAAAAACTAAATGTATATTAACACATATAATTTTTTTATTTATTGGAAAGTTAATTTATTAACTAGAGCACAGTTTATTGCGCAACGATCACTATAACCATCCCCCTAGACTGCACTGTGACTGCCCACTAACTATATTCAGCGGACAGTAAACTAAATATTATAAAAAATGTAAAAGTCCTTGCATCCCAACGCAACAAATAACAAATATATCTGTTTCAATATAGATCAAAACTCTACAATGTTTGCCGATCATAAAGTAAAAAGTAAGGTATTCATTTGGGAAAGCAACATAATATGTTCGACAAAAGACTTGATGCTAAACGTCAAAACAAAAGAAAATAAAAGCATATCATTAAACAATTTGGAGACAGAAGCACCAACTAAAGAGAATGTTGATAAAGATGACCAAGTGTCTAATGCTCCCACTAAGAAGAATGTAAATATCTTTATAGATCCCAACTCTTACCCCGATTCTAAGCAAATGCAAGATGAAGGCTACACATTTTTTTGGGATGAATCATTACATGTTCCCAAAGATGA